TCCCCCTGCATTTGGGCGAAATCTATTTTCGTAAATTTCGTGGGGAAAAAAATATTTTTTTTCAAAACTAACAACACCTCGATTTATTTTACACTAAGGGCTATCTAAAAACCAAATATGAGCGAAATCGATTTTTTGACTTGTGCCATGAAAATTCGAATTTGGTCGATTCTTACAGACAGTCGCTCTTAAAAGATCATAAGTACGTACACTCAGTGAACCATTTCATTTTTCGGTCCGTACCGTAAGTTATGGACCGCAAATTGACCAATCATAGCGCGTGAAATTACCTTGCCATATAATAATAATAATTTTTTTCTTTTCTTTTCTTTTCTTTTCTCTTTTGGTTTAAGTAGCCATGACAACTGATAATGCTACAATTATATGGTAATTACAGAAGCGGAACACCTGCAATCAAAACCTCATCATTCTCTTTCCTTTCCTGTTCAGCAAGCTACAAATCAAGATGAAGATAGTACTCGCTCCTTTGACTGTATTTATATATGTTTTGTATGGTTGCCAGCCGACAATGCCGCTATTGGTGATTAGAAGTCCTTCATTCAAAGAAGCAGGATTTGTTGTGCATCTCTCTCATAAGTTGGCAGTGCAACCTTTACGGACCTATCAAGTGCGAAACCCGTTTGACTGTGCCTTCAAGTGCCTCGGACATGATCAGTGTTTGTTGTTTAACATGGCAGTCAGTTCAACTGGTGAATTCAGACTCTGTTATCTTCTTACTTCGGACATGAACAACAACCTTTCTTACTTCAGGCCCAGTGAGGAATTTGACTTTTATGGGATTGTGGAGAGTATGGTATGTGAACTGATTTCTTCTTCTTCTTCTTACTTCATTTCACTTTTTCTTCGTTCTTTTTTTTCAATTTTTTTTTCATTTCTTTAACTCTTGGATACGTGAAGCGTAGAAACGAGTTCTTTAGGCGAGGGGTCTGCAAATAGTGTTCACCAACTCACTCGCTCACTCATTAAGAAGTTAACAGATCGATAATTAAGTCGCTTTTTTTCAACCGTCCACGTCAACGGCTTAAGAACATTTAGCAACACTTGGCTTTTGATTTTCGTACAAACACTATTGAAGTTTTTATATAATGAAGACTTAACTCAGCTATTTATATCAGGAACGGGATTCTTACTGTTCGATGCTGGTTGATGTCAAGCACTAAGAATACTTACACTCTCAATTCTCTTAATTTCGTTTTTATGAATTTTTTTATTCGGTTTTTTTTTTCTTTAAGGAAAGATGAAGGTTGAGCTAAAATATAAAATAATCGCCTAAACTAGAGTTTTGAATATTTTGAAATCTTATTTGAAGTAATAAGCAAACAGAAAT